GCATGCGAGTCAGATCATACCTGCATTTCAGTCCATCACAGAAGCATCCACCTGTGCTGAAAGTTGTCTGAGTTTGACATGTAAACACATCTATAGATAACTGTGCTGGCGACTGGCAGCACACCAACCAATTCCCAGTCCCAGGACTTCCTGGAATGCTGTGAAGGATGTCTCCAACTGATCTGTGCACACTGGAGCATCACAGATATTTCTGCAGTCACGCATGAGCACAGGTACAGAGGCAGATGTGCAGATGTACACATGTGCCCTGCAGTTAATTCTCCAAGGGCATTTTGTTGTGGCAGCCTGAGTGCCCTCAGGCAGAGCTGCTGCCTGTGGGGGCTGGACAGGTGCAAAGCACCTCCAAAACAGCACTTCTTGGTTGGGTGCCTGTTCTTGGTGCTCCTGGACCACTGGGAGTTAGGTGCTGCTTCAAAGTCCACGAGTGAAAATGCTCAAGGTTAGTAATTGCAGGTGATACATTAAACATCACATATTTAAGACCTGTTGGGGTGGAAGTGATGATGAGACCTCACCATTCCCTGGGCCTGAGGGTTTCCAGGGTACTGGGAGGAGTGCAGTGAGGCTAGGGTGTGTGCAGGAACTTGCAAGGGGAATGATGCTGGATTGAAAGCAGGTCCATGCCAACTGTTAGTTGATCAAATAGACCATTCAGAAAAGGGAAATTGAAGCAAAACGAGGAGGTTTCTATGCATGTACTGCTTTCCCTTCTGTCTCTGCGGTACATTGTTGATTATCCATGGAAGTATTACGTAGAGTGAAGTATGCCGTATTTCTCTGTGACACCGAAAATCGATGTTATACGAGGATGACTTATTTTTCAGGGTCAGCTCTTTCTGTTTACTCAGACTCTGTGAAAAGCAACGCTGATTTAAAAACACCCTAAAACTGTCAGGGTGGTTTGGAGTTGTTTTGAAATGTCACAAGTGTGAGCATGCTGCAGCCCCCAACGCTGGCTGCGAGGAGATTTACTGCCACAGTTAGGAAGCTGACACGGTGGCAAACTTCAGCCCCCTTAAGTTTGTGGTGTGTCTATGTGTCAATGTTATCTCTATCTCAGAGGTCATGTCCAGAGAAGAGAAAGCTAAACAGTATCTTGAGATCTTTGTATTTTATTAGACATACCTTTTATAAAAAAAAGGCTCCTGCATGTTCTTCTTAACTAACTTAATATTTAAAAGTTTCATTTGAATTAAATCGATTTATATCGGAAACAATGTGGTTACCATAAAAATGTTGTGACTGCAACTTTTTTTTATAAAGAAATGCCCTCTTAGAGGTTTGGGTAACTCAGAGCCTTTGTCAAACTGCAACAGTCCTGCTGTGGTATAAATGCTTCCAAAGTGAAAATGATGAATCTTGTTAACTCCCCCATGAATGACTCAGACTCCCTGAGGTCTAGAGTGTGCTGCTGCCATAGCTAAGAAGTTTCCTTATGTGCTGTGTAGTGAGATGGTCAGGATGTTCCTTTGTAACTGGAGGTAGCTAATGTACCTGCATGGGAATAGTCCAAGGGATGGGGAAACCCCCAGCAGTTATCATGATGGTGCCTGCAAGGCAGGAGGAGTATGGGATGCATCCACAAGGGCTGCTGTGCAGGGTTAGCTCTGGAACAGTCCCAAGTGTAATCAAGTACATTATTTCAAGTTGTTTGTCACAACAAGGTGTAGAATCGACTAAATTGGTAGAAACCAGGTTTAGACTTAACTCCACTAGGAACTGGTATAAAATCAGTCTGTAATCAGGAATCTGCACTGGGCTCGGTGCTGTTGTTTGGGCTTTTTATCACTGGTACTTGCTTAATGGCAAGCACCAGAAACCTTTGCAAGTGACACATATTTCATTTCCAGATGACATGTGAGAGCTGCCCTCAGAGCAGGTAGAGCTGATGTTACCAGCTATTGCTCCAGGCTGTGCCTAAAGCCAAATCATACCCCTTGGTATTTAGGACAGAACGTGAGGGGTCTGCACCACAGCAGTGTGGATCTTAGTGAGGAGAGATGTGAGCAAGAAAAATCCCATGCGTGTTGCTGGTTGTGCTCAGCATCTTGCCTGCAGCTGCTTGAGGAGGCAACTCCTTCTGCCAAACCTGTGAGCATCCCTAGTGTGGTGCTGATGGAGCTGTGGGAAGTCTGCCTGCCTTTCCCAGCTTTGCAGGCAATCTTTTGGCAAGGGCAAGCTTTTCTGTGCCTGTCTCCCCATTTGTTTCACAGGAATTCCGCTCCTTGGGTCACAACAAGTTTTCAAGTGTAAGAGTGAAGAATTGTTATTTGTGGGAGAAAAAGCACTGCTGGGCTTCCTGAGTGATGGATGTGCAGAGAAGCTAAAAAAATTCTGTTCAGCTCTAGGAACTTGTTGACTCACTGTGTGTAGAGACCCTTGTGCATGTGCAGGGGAGTGCTGTCCCTTTTGTTAGAGGTGCTGGCTGCACACAGTGTGGAAAGCTCACAGTGAGCATCTCTGCTAAGGGCAGGGGTGGTTCCTATTTATCGCTCATTGGTGGGTGGAGAGTCTTCAAGTGTGTCAACCAGCTTCCTTCCCGAGAGGGCTCTGAGAGAAGATGCGCTTGGCCAGCATCCCTAGGGCACTGATCTCTGGTCCCAAGGCAAGGCAGAGTTGATCCTGAAGAAGAGTCCTGTAAGGCAGTGAGTGCCAGGACATTAGTGCTTGGCAAGTCACTCTTCTGATCTGCACTTCTTGCTAGTGCAGGCACTTGTTTTTTTAGGGATTAGATAGAAGATGTCGGATTGGTGGTTGTTTTGCAGCAGGGGCTGGAGCTGGGCACAGATGCAGTCCTGAGCTTCGAGGGCCACTCTCTGCCTCTGTATATGTTCCTCGGTACAATATAGTCAGGACACAGTGGCTCTGACTGTTCAGGATGCTCTTGTGCCCTTGTCAGCATGGGATGTTAATTAAAGACATGCACAAAGATGGAGCCCACAAAATGGTGTGCCAGCTCCTGACTGTGCTGAACAGGTTGCAGAACAGCAATTGCATCTTGTTTCCAGCCTGATCCTGTTTCTGCAGGCCTAAAAACGGAGGGAAGTACTGTGTGGGTCGTCGCATGAAGTTTAAATCCTGCAACACCGAACCGTGCTCGAAGCTGAAGAAGGATTTCCGGGATGAGCAGTGTGCCGACTTCGACGGAAAGCACTTTAACATCAACGGGCTGCCCACGAATGTGCGCTGGGTTCCCAAATACAGCGGCAGTAAGTGGCGGGGGGGATGCAGATCCTGCCTCCTGCATCACTGCCTCAGGGTGATGGTGCTCGGATAACATGCCTCTGGTTTTCCTCCCTCCCATCCCCAGTCCTGATGAAGGATCGGTGCAAGTTGTTTTGCCGCGTGGCAGGAAACACGGCGTATTACCAGCTGCGGGATCGCGTCATCGACGGGACGCCCTGCAGCCCCGACACCAACGACATCTGTGTGCAGGGCCTGTGCCGGGTAATCATTCTCCCTCCTCTTCAGCAAAGGGGGATTGAAGTTTTGCACAGCAGCCTGGCATTTCTGCACTGTGCTCCAGGCAGTTGTTGGCCTGTCCTCTTTGCTCAGGGGCTGCCAGCAGCATCTGCAGGCTGTGTGAGCCCCAAATGGTCTGAAACTTGTGCCAACCTCCAGATTTGCAGAAGAGCCACACGTGGAATCGTAGGATCATATGGGTTGGAAAAGACCTCTAAGATCATTTAGTCCAACCATTAACCCAGCTCTGCCAAGTCCACCAGTAAACCATGTCCCCAGCTGCCATATCCACGTGTCTTTTAAGTAACTCTGGGAATGGTGACTCTCCCACTGCTCTGGGCAGCCTAATCCAATGTTTGACAACCCTTTTGGTAAAGAATTATTTCCTAATATACAACCTAAATCTTCCCTGGTGCAACATGAGGCTGTTTCCTCTTGTTACCTGGGAGAAGAGACCAACCTCCTCATCATTACAGTCTGCTTTTCAGCTAGTTGTAAGAATGATAAGTTCTCCCCTGAGCCTCCTTTTCTCTAGGCTGAACACCTCCACCTCCTTCAGCTGCTCTTTGTCAGTCTTGTACTGTAGACTGTTCACTAGCTCTTCTTTGGACATGCTCAAGTGGAGAATTTTTGCGTGTCTGCCCTAAGTAACTGAGGGCTGAGGAGATATGAAACTAAATCCTAAAGACACTTCCCTCTGTGCTTTGCCCCAGTTCTTCCTGGTCAGACCCCAGAGCCCTTTACATTTCTGTTCACAATTATTTTTCACACTTTTCTCTATGGGAACAATTGAAGCAAGAACTTTTCTTTAGCAAAGGCATCGCCTAGTGCAAACAGCAGTTCTGATCCTCATATTGTAAAATAGCCTTTTGTTGGAAAACCTTGTGGGATGGCCACACTCTAAATCGGTGGAAAAATGTGGGGAAGCAAAACAATTTGTCTCACATCAGCCTTTTGCACACACAGCTTTTGTGTGCCTTAATTAGGAGGTTTGTAAATGCTGTTCTAGTCTGTATTTGCTCAATCTGTTTTTTTCATTTTTTCTCTTAAAGCAAGCTGGATGCGATCATGTGCTGAATTCAAAAGCAAGAAGAGATAAATGTGGTGTTTGTGGTGGAGATAATTCTTCATGCAAAACTGTTGCAGGCACATTTAACACGGTGCATTATGGTAAGAATCTGTTGCTAAAAACTTTATTGTGAAAAATGTGGGTCTATAAAAGCCATTACCACACTTAATCTACAAAAACACTGATGTAAAATGCAAAATCCTTCTAGCTATAGTATATTCCATTTTATAACTATTTATGCTATCCCTAAATGAAAAGTATCAGCTTGTGTAATGTGAGGTAATTTTGCTCGTTTCCCTTTCCCCTGTAGAAAGCAAATGAAATGTCTGTGTAATGGCCTTGACTTTCTGTTCAATCTTTCCTAGGCTATAACGTTGTGGTTCGCATCCCAGCTGGTGCAACCAATATTGATGTGCGTCAGCACAGTTACTCAGGGAAACCAGAGGATGACAACTACCTGGGTGAGTTGTAGTTCTTATTTCAGTCCAGAAATCTACTTTGTTTCTGGTTGTGGTGATGTATCTACTGGCTGCTCTCTACTAGGGAAGATGAAGAATTCATTTAAGGGAGATGTTTTCTTGGTGAGAATTTATCTATGTCTGCCAAACATTCAGCCTTAACTTCTTTCTTCTTTCTGTTCATGCCATCCTAGTTGTAAAGTTTAGGAGGTTCACAGACTTACAAGAAATATCTGCTTAGAGTGTGTCTAGGGCGGGGAAGGACTGTCAAGTCTGGTCTGTGGGTGGGAGCTGAGGCACAAAGCTGGGAACCAAACAGGCTTCTGAACCCTGCTGGAGTCTTCTCACTGCAACTTTAAGCATCTCTGCTGTCACCATGCTGTGGCTGGAGAGTGAATATGCCATGCCCAGGCGTGTGGACAAACACATGCAAAGAGAAATTATTTGCTATTTTTCTGAGAACAGTAATTCTGATTTCACTTAGACTGAGCCCTTCTTGTCCCTCCCTGACAGCAATATGTAACTGTAAAGATTACACCAAAGATACTGGTTTGATTTAAACTTAACAATAACTTGGCCCTTGGCTGTTCATAGTCATTGTTTTCTCTAATCTGTGGCTATGTCTCTATAGGCAGTTGAAGATAACTGTGCAGTGTTAGAACACTCTGCTGCATGCACATATAATTTTAGCATGGCCATGAGTCTCTTCCACCGTGCTGATCAGTAATGCACCTCATAGATAAATAGTTCTGTTTGGATTCAATACCAGAGATAACACAAGTGCACACTACAACCAATGTTACACCTTACAGTTGAAAGCTGATTTTGACATTAAGTCCTCTTTGGGGTCCCTCAGAGTCTCTGGTCCTCCTCTTTTGCACGCCCTGTGCCTGGCATCACCAGTTCTCAGTAGCACAGGGTCCTGTATTCACATCTCTGAATAGGGCACTTCATCTTGTTTTATCTCACAACATTCCTGTAACTGGGTATGTTAAAAATGCAGCTAGGCTGGTGGATCTTAGCCCATCAAAGGTAAAGGGGCTTATTTGAGAAACGTGTAGAGGAGACTCATGCACCAAAGGAAAACAATGCTGACAGCTTTGGCTGTTGCTCTGAGATCCCATCCATGTGGCTGGACCCTTCACTGAGGCAAAAAGCTGAGTGGGTGATCCCTGTTCCCATTCCTGGGGGGGATCATGCAGAGCTCTGTGCACTTACAGCTGTGTCGTGTTGTTTTTTGCACATTCACAGCAGTGAAATGAGATGGTGCAGCATGAATGGACATCAGCACCAAAAAAACCTCACTGAGGTGTGATAGTTTTCTGCCTTGGGGGAGGGAGGCAAGTTTTATTATTCCTCTTTCCTAGAAAAAACAATCTTCCCGATGTTGTGCCTATTCAAACTGTTTCACCCCCAGAAGGAGCCCCAAACTTCTCAGCTCTTCTTGGAGGGCCTTTAATCTTCTTGGGAAGCAATGAAGTCAAATCTTCTTTAATGTTGCTTTAATATTGCTGGGAAAGCATCTCTTCACATTAGGCCTGACTAGAAGCAAATGAGAAGTGTGCATGTGTCCACTTATTTTGCAGCTCACTGAGTGTGAAATCTTGGGCCCTCGGTACTGTGAACCTTGTAGTTGCTTAACAATTTAGGAGGAATTTGATGTTGTCATCAAGTCCAAGACATGTACCTACTGTTGTAGGAGATACAGTAAATGGGAAGGACTCCTTTAATGAGTTTTACTACTGCCTAATAACATTAAAGCCTCCAACGTGTGGAGTTTGGTTGAGTGTAGCCTCTTTGTGAGTTTTTATCCATCTATGTCTCTTTGCTACCGAGCAGTGTTTTGCTTCATTATCTCTCCTTGTTTGATGGAAAAACCTTCCCTTTGGTGTTTTGGTGTTAAGTTTAGATTTTTCAGTACAGGGGCTTTGTAGTAATGTAGCTGTGATGGGTGAAATGGTGGGGAAACTAACTTAGGAAATTAGCTACATAATCGCATTAGTGTGAAGTTGTGCAGCAGACTGCTGTTTTCAGGAAACTGTTCCTTTTATAAAGCATTTAGACTTTAAGCCTTCAGTGCTTTCACATACCTTAAGATTTGGAATAATAATAAAAATATGGGGGGAGGAGGGAGAGGGAGAGAGAGGGGGAGATACTGACCAAACTCCCTCTAATTATCTACTAGAAAATGATGTTTAGGTGATTAGGGTAGATACATTTACCCTAAGAACACACCTGGAAACAACAGGGAAGCCACCCTAGCCACATGGCTGACAAAAAGGTTTGGGCAGGATTATTTCTGTAGCATATAAGGGGATACCAGCTGTCTGTGCTCCATACAGCAGCCAGCCCGGCGTGCCTTTTGGAGAACTATTGGGTGAACTATTTAGCAACAGCTTCAGGCATTCAGCCTTCGTTTTAATGAGGCTTTCCAGTGGAAAAAGGAGAAGGCACAATGTCTGCAAGAGCTCTGCTGCTCTCGTTACATCCTTTCTGTTTGAGAGTGCCAGTGGGCTTTTCCTCCCACCCCCAATGGAAAGGAGAACCGAGAGCGCATGACCCACGTTGTTATGTACGTATGAGTTAATTCTGCCTCTTTAGTTCTTGTTTTTTGCACCTATGCAGCCTTATCTAACAGTCAAGGAGACTTTATATTAAATGGAGACTTTGTCGTCAGTATGTTTAAAAGGGAAATCAAAGTTGGGAATGCTGTGATCGAATACAGTGGATCGGATAATACAATTGAAAGGATTAATTCCACAGATCGGATTGAGCAAGAAATAACCCTTCAGGTGAAGTATATGTTGTGTGTATGGAAAAGTCTGCCCAGCTTTATTGGACTGAAAATAGTGGGTAGTGATGTCTGTTGGTTTATTCTGCTTCATCTTTCATCCTCTCAGGTTTTATCAGTGGGAAATTTGTACAATCCTGACGTTCGTTACACATTTAATATCCCCATTGAGGACAAACCTCAGCAGTTTTACTGGAATGTGTATGGCCCATGGCAGCCCTGCAGTAAGCTCTGCCAAGGTGGGTGCTTGGTAAGGCTTAGTTTTGCCCTGGATTTGTTTTGGGATCTGGACAGTGCTGTCAAATCCCTCTCTGTTTGGCTTCTTTGAGATTCTCACATTATGGGAGTGATTGTTTCCCTGGGCTGCAGTAGTAGGTAACATCCTACAAGGTGGAGCACTGCTCTGCTGCTGCTTGGATTTAGAGCAGGGCACCTTACAACCCCTCTGAGCCAGGTGAGCCTCGCTATGTGGTTCACAGGTGAGGAAACTGAAGCACAGAAAAGGTTGTGTGGCCTTTCCTAAGGCTGCAAAAGGCATCAGTGTCTGGTTTTGGGTCTGACATTCAGTCGTTTCCACCTGCCAGTGTCCACCCTGGTAAACACGCAGAGCCCATCCTTGCAGAGATGCTGCAGCTCCCCATGTCCATCCCATCTGCGATAAACCTCTTCTGCTCTGCTTAGTCTTAACCCCCTTCCTGTTTCTGAAGGAGATGGAGAAGTAAAATTAAACATCTCTTAAATGCTACTGTAAAAGTGTAAGAGAAATAACCGAAGGGATCACTTTCCTGCATGCCTCAAACAATGTGCTGGTTTTCTCTGTGCAGGAGAACGAAAAAGGAAACCTGTGTGTACGAGAGAGTCGGATCAGCTCACGGTGTCGGACCAGCGATGCGATCGAATTCCCCAGCCTGACCCCATCACTGAGCCTTGTAGCACAGAATGTGAATTAAGGTGCACTCTGCTCAGCTGTGTATATACATTACATTGTGTACTATTGTTTGCTCCTCTTTTCTTTCACCTCTCACCATACTTCCTTTTCTCATCAGCCTGCATTAGATTTTAAAAAAGAAAAGGATTAGTAATTGCCTCTTTGTCAACCAAGTGGGATTGCCATCCACCAGTGATGTTTTGAGAGGCACTTTTGTATGTTTTCACATTTCTCTTGTTGGATTAAGTTAGGGCTAACTATAACAAAAATTCTTCTGATGTTGAAAAATCTCCCTGTGCAATACAGTGCCTGAAATTTGCATCTGCCTGGATCAGAAATGCTCAGCACCATCCTACAAACAGCCTACAATGAGGGGAAAACATATTTAAAGCAAAAAAGTAACTAAGACTTGGATTTTTCAGTGTTTATTTAAAGCAAAGAATAGGCTTATGCATAGAGCATGTTTAGGACTGTCCCCAGACAACTCCTGGCGTGCTGGAATTGATGGAGCACAGCCTAAATCATCACAATCCGTTTTCCTTTAAAAAAAAATCTGTTTTCCTTTCTGGGGCTTAAATATGGTGGCATTAAGCGGCTGCTGGTGAAGCAATTCAGATGGCTGAGTTTCCCGAGGGGTTTCTCTGGCTCTGTTAAACTGGGGCTGTGCAGGGGCTGTATAGGGTTGGGTTGTCGCGGTAACAGCTGTTGCCATTGCAACAGGTTGGAAACTTGAGAAGGGCAAATGCAGGAGTCTGAAAAGCAGGCAGGGATGTGAGGCTCCCACCAGTCAGGAGCTATTGACTCCAAATCCCCTTGATCTTATTCTTCTCCTGGCTGTGCTGAAGTTAGCTCTCTCAGCTTGGGAGCGTGGGCTCTGCGCTCCTCGCACAGATGCTGGCAACAGCCCAGGGGCCTCCAGGACCCCCAGGGGATGTCACTGCCTCCTTCCCCAGGAGCCACCCCTGCCAAGTCTGAGGGGTAATGGGCTCCTCTTGGCTTTGGGGTCTCCAACACCTCCCTGGATCAGCCCTCATGTCCAGCATCTCTTTCCAAAGCTGGGATGATGTGTAGCAGGGTTGCATCCCCAGCTGGGTCCTTAAGGGTCACCGGCACCAGCCCTTGTTGTCCATCCTGGGAAAGAGGCAGTAGGGTGGAAATCTGTCTGTTGAGAGGGAACACCTCTAATCCCCCCTGACACTTCTGGGGCTTGTGTGTCTTGGAGCAAGTAGTTTGCTCACACTTTGGAGAGCTAAGATTGTTTTGCAGGCATCCTGCCATGTGAAACACCTTTCAAGCCTGTGCAGGTAATTTTCTGATGCTGTATTTTTCAGCTTTTAGCTTTTAAAGGCCAAGGTGGAACTCCTGCAGGGGAACATGGTGTGGAAACTCTTCAAAGCACTGCTTCTTGCTTGGCCATGGACTGCCCTCACCACCTGAGGTGGTCCCACAGGGTCACAGCGTGGCTTTGCTATCTTCAAGAGGGACCTGGTGACAGTTCCTTCTCTTCAAGAGCAATGCCAGGGTTAATTGCCTTAGATCTCTGGAAGCCATAAAGCGTTGGGAAATGTTACAAAGAGCCCAAACTTTGGGCTCAAGAGCATATATTCCTTATATCAAACACCCTTGAGCATGTTGCCTACAGAGTCCTGGAACTCCACAGCTAATGTTGTCTGTCCTTGGTGCAGGTGGCACATCGCGAGGAAGAGCGAGTGCACGGCGCAGTGTGGGCTGGGGTACCGCACCTTGGAGATCTACTGCTCCAAGTACAGCAGACTGGAGGGCAAGATAGAGAAGGTCGACGACCGTTTCTGCAGCAGCCAGCCCAAGCCCAGCACGAGGGAGAAGTGCACTGGAGACTGTAACGTGGGAGGGTGGCGATACTCAGCCTGGACCGAGGTAAGGGACGCTTTGCTGTCTCCTCCTTGCACAGGGGTATGTCAGGCTGTTTAGGTTGCAAACAACAGCTCTGCATAAAAGGTGGCTGCAGTGATTCTGCTTTCGTTGATTTTTCTGGAGGACACTGTAGTCCAAATCATCCTGGTACTCCTTATTTTGTCCTGCAATTAATTTGTGCCTTTAAGCATCTCAAGGCATGTCTTTATTACATGCAGCTGGCCCTGCTGGTTGTCTCCTCCCATCAAGGCCAGCACCAGTGCCAGGAGTTAGGGAAGATATGTTGTCATCAGCAGAGGACTTCTGAAATTTGTTTTCTTTCTGCTTTTTAACCTTTATATGAATAAGAAAATTCCTGAATGCAGGCCTGGCACTGAGAGCTTGAGGCGCCTGGGGCTTTCCAGGGAGGGCATGGTGAAGGAGGCTGGCTGGTCAGAGAGAGTTAATCTCTCCTAAAATGAGAACAAGCAGCAGCCATTTAGGAGAACTGAAAGCAACACTTGTAAAAGTAATAACAGTGTTATAACGTGAAGTGAATTTGTGAAATGCATGGCCAGGACATTTTATTAAGCTTAGCAAGATTGGCTTTTAAAAAAAATATATGAAGTAAAAACCTGGTTACTTAAAGTACAAATTGTTCTTCCTGACATATTCTGCAGTCACTCCACAGTCCTGACTTCAAAGAGGGATAAGGCAGTAGCAGTAGAGTGGCAGAAAGTATTTACTCAGTGTCTCTCCTCCCAGTGCTCCAAGAGCTGCGGTGGGGGCATGCGGCGGCGCCGAGCCATGTGTGTGAACACCTACAATGATGTCCTGGATGACAGCAAGTGCAGTCAGCAGGAGAAGCTGACAGTGCAGCGATGCAGTGACTTCTCATGCCCCCAGTGGAAAACTGGTGACTGGTCTGAGGTAGGTGCTGGTCACCAGGGTGGGTTTACCCTGCTGGTCCTCTACCCTGAGGGGCTGATGCCTGCAGAGAGATGTCTCTATCCCTGCTCATCCCTTGTGATCTGTTTGTGCTTCCTGCAGAAGGTCTCCCCATGTCTGTGCACAGAGAGGCTTCAGACCGGTAGCAAAGTCACTGGCCTTGTCACCACTGGTCAAGTGACCACTTTCCTCCCTGCAAAGCTACAGGGGGTGGTTAATTACTCTCCAATCCTGTAGTAATTTCTCCCCAGTTTTTCCATGGTTCCTCTGCACCATTGTGAAGAAAAATATCTTCTGCCCTCATTTTCCCTTTGGATTGTCCTCAGGAGCCCTGGCAGCTCTGGCTGTCGCTGGAGGGCAGGATTTCACCCTACTGATGTCTTGCTCAGCCTCTCCCTGCTGTTTATTGCCTCTTCTACTGTTGCTGGTGTCCTTTGCAACACAATAAAACTGTACCTTGATAGGCTTTTTCCTGCAGCAGGACTGGGGATACTGGAGAATAGTCTTCAAAGGCTGCTCGTCACCTTTGTGGCCAAATAGCTCTTGTTTCTGTGGATCATTATGTTCTTTTCGGACATAATGAAAGCAATTGAGTGGGATCAGGGATTCTCTGCAAAACATCTGTCTTCCAAGCTGCTGGCAGCCCAGCCCTCACCAGGGTGGTGGAAGAGGCGCTCGCAGCCTGCAAAAGCCAAGACCCTTAACATGCACACTCAGAGCTGAACAAGTTTTTTACAAGCCTTTGGCACCCTGTTGTGCACAGCTAAAACCCTGCAGGGCAGTGCTGTGCCTTTGCCCGATGTCTCACAGCTGCTGGATGTCAAGAGCCTTTGTGGTCTCACTTTGCCTGTGCTGATGGGTCCCAGCCTGGCTGTGCTCTCCTTGCTCCAGCCTCTGCTCTGGACCAGCTCCTGAGAGCAATCCTCTTTTGTTGCAAGACACTCACCTGTTTTCCAGGATAGTGGTGCTTAGCTAAAGAGCCATCTCTTGGCACCAGTTTTTTCAAGCAGTGCTTGCAGTGAGTCTCCAGGTTTATTTTTCAGTGCTGGGGCAGGTGCTGAGCTGGCAGCACTTCCTCAGCACCACCTGAGCTTGCGCTTTTCTCCTCACAGTGCTTGGTCACCTGTGGAAAAGGGCACAAACACCGTCAGACCTGGTGCCAGTTTGGAGAAGATCGATTAAACGACAGGTTTTGTGATCCCGAGACAAAGCCAGAGTCGGTGCAGACGTGCCAGCAGCAGGAGTGTGCTTCGTGGCAAGTGGGGCCATGGGGCCAGGTACCACAGGGCTCTGGGTGCTGGTGGCTGAGGCTGGGCCCTGCCCTTTCATCCAAATTCAGCAGCATAACTGTGTTAATTGATTTGCACACCAAAGCAGCCCTCTGTTCGCTTGGGTTCAGCGGATAGGCAGCAATAACAGTACCTGCCCTTTGTGCTAAATTTAATCTCTGTCATACTAAATTGGCCGTGATTTTCAAAAAAAGGGGTTTCCAAGGTTACGCTCCTAAATCCATATTTAGGCACGTAAATACATGGCCTAATTTTCACAGAAAAGCTGCTCCCATTGAATAACTTTTGTTGCTTTTAATTTTTTTCAGTTTCTGGGTTGGGGAGGGGTTTTTTTTTCTGTTAAAACACAAGTTGCTCGTTTCTCCCAGAGTGTTCTGGCATCTGCTTTTCCACAAAGCTGTTAGCTCTTGACTTAAAAAAAACAGCAACAAACACAGGCCAGTTGTCCCAGTCAGACATATTTCCCATTAGCAAAATTATTCATTAGCTGCTCGCAATACCATGGGGCTGAACCACTAGTTTTAAAGAAAGATACGATGCAGGTTCTACCAGACTCTGATTCTAGTGTGTGCAGCAAAGTAAATGATTTCAGTGCTTGCACCTTCATTCCCAAAGAATCTAGTGAAGCGTGTGAGGCACTGGTGGGCGCAGTGAGTTAAAACTTTGACCTAATTTAAAGCTGAAATGCATGAAATGAAGAGAAACCAGAAGGGAAGCTGTTTTATTTTTGCTGCCTTTGCTATGTGCCTAAACACAGGCTGGGCTGATTAATACTTTCTAACTGAAGCAACTACTCAGACCCAGCACTTCTTTCTCCCAGTGCACTGTGACTTGTGGCCAAGGCTACCAGATGAGAGCGGTGAAGTGTGTCGTGGGCACCTACGTGTCAGTGGTGGATGACAACGAGTGTAATGCTGCAACCAGGCCAACAGATACCCAGGTAAATCCTGCTGTGCTGTCTCCATCTTTTTCCATCTGCATATGGAGACATTCAGGCTACGGCTTTAGGGGACATCTTGCTGCAGCAGAGCCTTACCCTGAACAGAGCCCGTGCAGAGCTGTACCTTGGTCTGATACATGGCTGTTGGAAAGGTGCAGCACAGCACCCTGTTTTTATAGAAGTGGGACAAAGAAACTGGAGTTCCCGTCCAGACCCTCTCCATGTGGTTGACACCACCACCAAATTGCCAAAAAGGCAATGAACAACTTCTTATATAAGGGCATCAGGACTTCATGGGATGAAGATCAATTACCTTTGCTCATGGTTTATGTCCACAGAACTCCAGTCATAGGATGGGATGTGAGAAGGGCTGTTCAGATGCAGCACTAAAGCTGGTCTCTTAAGAGCTCATGAGCTAAAGAAGCCTCAGTGAATGAATATGGGAAAACAACCACACACCAGAAGGCTGAGACAGTATTTATTTATTTGCCTCAGAGGCTGTTGTCTCCACACAGCAGACACCTTCTTTGGCTTGCATGGGGTCAGGGATGCCTGGCTGCAGTCTGGACTCACGTGGCTGCGGGACTGTTGCTGTGTGGTACAAAATGATGGTGAGGGGCTGTAATTTCTTGTCTTCTGCATGTGACATTGTAGTGTTTGTGGCAGCTGCAATTCCAGACACATTCCCCTGGCCAGAGAAATTGAGAAATGTTGCATACCCTTTGCAAATTTGCTGAAGAGGCTTTCCATGCTGTGTACTTGGAAGCAAACATGTAAATTCCCGTATCAGGCAGAGGATATGTCTAAGGTATCTTAAGGAGTTGAATAAAACAGAGCATTACCATCTATCTGTCATCTAGGAGAGCTGTAGTGCTGATACCCTGCCCAGCTTCAGTCCTGCATGACTTCACAGAGTTTAACTAAGGTCACAACATTTGTGAAAGGGCTTTTTTTTTCCCATGTATGGAGACCAATTGCACTATGGTCAAGGGGTAGCAAACCCACTTGTCATCAGCCATCATTTGGCATGCACTTCTCCAGTGTAAGTGAAATCGTAGTGATGCGGAAGTCATGTTTGCCATTTGTCAGGATCTGTGCTCTCCCTCACAGGGACAATCAGTATTAATTTCCTTTTTGGCAAGGACTGCGCATGGAGTAAAGTCATGGCTATTCATCATTTCTGTCGCCAGACCTCCCAGGAGGTCCAGACAGGACTAGAGCCCTCCTGTGAGGCACTGTATCAAGACTGAGCAGAATGCCATGCCTGTCCCCAAAACCTCCCGTGCTTGGTGTGTGGTGAAGATCAGCACACGGATATAAGTGGTCTGGTGGGCTGCAGGGAATCAAAGGGTTGCAATCAGCTCAGCAGCGTAACCTTTATTGTGTGGGCTGCAGGTCTCGGCGCTGAAGGAAGGGAGCTTTGAAGGGAGATAAAGTTGCTGCTTTGCAGATGTGTGTTCATACCAGAACTCTTAATGAACTTTCATCTTTTGCCTCAAAACACATCTGGTTTTAATGCGTGGAGATGGCACATGGTTATAGGGATCCCTATTGCAGAGTTCCTAATAAGTCAAAAGTCCACAGAGGGTTCTGCATATGAAGGCCTCAGGGTATTGAGGCTGAGTTTTGCTGATTCACCAAGAGGATGCGAGGAGGACGCCTGCCTACACTCAGGCATGCAGGTCACAGGTTTTCAAGATGTTGCATGTTGATGATAATGACATTGAAGAGGAGGTGATTTAATCAAAACATCTGCAAATTCTTTATTTCCCACTTTTCCCTCATGTCTTTCCTGTACAGGACTGTGAAATAGCTGTATGTCCTCCCCATCCAAATAGTCCTGAAGCCAAGAGATCCATATCGGGCGTTCACAGGACGCAGTGGAGGTTTGGATCCTGGACACCAGTAAGCACATGTTGTAATACTTTCAGGGTTATTTTACAGTAGAAAATGGGATGTGTTTAAGTGTGTTTAACCAGCTTTTCATTCCAAAACCCTTGCAATGTATATCAGGAAACTTTCTAGTGCAGTGCTTGTTGCTCTTCCCTAGTGCTCCGCGACGTGCGGGAAGGGTACCCGGATGAGATACGTCAGCTGTCGGGATGACCAGGGCTCGGTGGCCGACGAGTCAGCTTGTTTCCACCTCCCAAAGCCATCAGCCACAGAAATGTGCACCGTGACGCCGTGCGGGCAGTGGAAAGCCTTGGAGTGGAGCTCTGTAAGCATCGTGCTGTCTCTTGCAGGAGAGCCTTATAGACCTCCTTGCTGGAAAGATGTTTCCTTAGTCTTTCACACTTGCCCTTTTATAAGTGAGGATATTAAGGTTTTCTGCTGTTTGTTATTAGCAATAGCTGTCTTTGTGGTTTTCAAAGCTGGAAATGTGACTGTGTCTCCTTTTCCCACTATAACACAGTGCTCAGTGACTTGTGGTCAAGGTAAGGCAACGCGACAAGTGATCTGCATCAATTACAGTGACCAGCTGGTGGACAGGAGCGAGTGTGACCCAGACGACCTGCCTGCCACCGAGCAAGACTGCTCCATGTCTCCTTGTCATCCAAACAGCCACGACTACGGCAGGCCCATCCACCCTTTCCTCTATCCGGATCATCGCCTGAAACTGCACCCTGGGGGCAGCCCAAACCGAAACCGTGCGCATATACCGGGAGGCAATCAGTGGAGGATTGGCCCCTGGGGTGCTGTAAGTGTCCTGATTTTCTTATTGCTGGGTTTTGTTGTTTGGTTTTGTGGTGTGTTTGGTTTTTTTCCCCTGGGCTAATCTAGTCTTTTCTTAAAGTCACCACTCAGGGAAAAGAGAGACCCTTCTCCCCACTGTCTGGTCTCTGCTCACACAAGCAAGTGTTGCAGTGGGGTGCAGGCATCACTTCTCAGCCTCTCATATCTCTGAGGCTCTCTAGGCAGAAAGCTGACAGCATCATTTTCTATGAGGCAAAGGCCAACCTCTGCTTCTTGGCTGTCTCCTGGGACATGTACAGCTGTGCAGAGTTGTTCCCAAAGCACAGCAGAGCCTCGATGCCAGCTCCTCTCACCCCAACCAGTATGCAATACTTTATCATGGAAGTCCCTAAAGGGAATTAAGCATAAATGTTGTATCAAACACTGCATTAAAGGCAGTAGGGATTACTCACCTGCCTAAAACTAGGCTGGTGTTTCCTTTCTTTGCTCAGTCAGCACCTAAGTTATTGCACTGCAGTTAGTAATACCTGGGTTTGAAGTTTAATAATGCCTGTTAGCTGTAGTAAATTTCTAGCAGTGCATTTCCATGGTGCAAGGCACTGGGATGGAGCTGGGAATGCAAACTTAGTCCTGCACTCAACAGAACTGTGGGCAATTGTGTCTTCCAGTGCTCTAGCACATGTGCAGGGGGGTTCCAGCGGCGGGTCGTGGTGTGCCAGGATGAAAATGGATACACTGCAAATAACTGCGATGAGAAAAGCAAACCCATGGAGCAGAGATCATGTGAATCTGGCCCTTGTCCTCAGTGGGCTTATGGCAACTGGGGAGAGGTGAGTGCACCATCTATCCTGGGCTCCTGGCACAGGGGAAGGCTTTCATTAGCAGGTGGCTGAAAAATGGGAGAAGAGAGAGGGATAGTGTGGTGACATTTATTAGAAAGATTGGAGCTTGACAGGCAGCCTGATAAATGAGTGAACCCTATCAACTGCTTGGTGGTGTTTTCCTTTTCATTTGTCATGGGAAAAATTTCTTCCCAGGCCAAAAGCAAATTCTGTAAAAATGGAGAAGTTTTTTTGTAAGAGAAGCCTAGTTTAACTGAAGGCCTTTCTAAAAAAAAACAAAAAAAAAATCCACAAAACTGCTCCCTTCTGAAAATTCATCTGAGATGAACAGCTGGAGAGGTAAACCTCCAGTGTCACGTTAGGTCTGGCACTATCATGGTGGAGCATCATGAACAGCTTCAGGAAGAGATGCTGAAGCAGCTGATGCCCCATCCAAGGCTCATGCAGCATTTGGGGGGATTTGGCTGTAGTGGGTTGGTTGGGAACAGAAACAGCCCTCGGATCTTCTGAGGTGCCAGCACTTGGAGCAGCCAGTTGGCAGTATTTTTGCTGCCCTGACGGTGATTGCTCTGTCCTCTGCTGACTTGCAGTGCACGAAGCCATGTGGGGCAGGGACAAGAACACGGCTGGTGGTGTGCCAGCGTCCCAATGGAGAAAGGTTTACGGATCTGAGCTGTGAAATCCTTGACAAACCCCCGGACAGAGAGCAGTGCAATGTGCAGGACTGTCCTAGAGATGCTGCCTGGAGCGCTGGTCCTTGGAGCTCGGTACGACCATAAACTCTTTCTCTTTGCAAAGCGTTTTGTGGATATTCCATAACAACAGATTTAATTTGCTTCAAACCAAGGTGCTAATGCTTCGTGTCTTAAAACTGCACTTAAAGAGGATTATTGCCAATATATTCAGAATAACACCTGTTCAGGAAGGACTTACATTAGGGGAGCTCGAGTCTTTTAGTTTAAAAGGCACTTTCTGCTAAGTAGCCACCTTTGTCCATTTTATTACACTGTGCGAGCGCTCTGCATTGTGAGTCTTGGTTCTGACTGAGTTCTTTGCATATGGATTTAAACTTGGCATTTAAGCAGTACATTTCCATTGAAGTTAAATTGTTCTGCTCTTTAATGGTAATGCTGCACTCTGCACCTACTGGTTTACCCGTCGCGTGTTCCCTGCCAAAAGCAAGATGACTGGGGAGAATGTGCACTAAATTGCACCAACTCCCAAGCATGTACAAGTGTGTATAGATGTGTGTGCGTGTCCCTACCTGCCCACACACAGACCTGTATAGAAACACGTGTGCATTCACACCCGTGCTCTATTTCTGTTCCTGTGTATATAATATGAGTGTGATGTACAGTGTAAAGGCACCTGTAAGATATTCTCGTGCATCTCTCTGGTTCTGGAGAGGGATTGTCTGGCCTTATCTCCAGCTGGTGGGCTATAATTAAGTCAGCAAAGGATCAGCAAGATGCTGGAAGGCTTAAAACCCTGGGAGTTTTCCAATAACAAAATAGTGTTTGGAGCAGAGGTGTCGTACACTGCTCCTTTGCCGCTGGAGGAGTCTGCTACAGAGATGTTCTTGTGAGGGCAGAGCAGCCCTGGACTGCAGGGTTCGGGTGCTATTTTGGGTGCCACAGCTTTGAAATTCTCCCTGCCCAGAGCAGCACCTTCTGCTCTGAGCCCTGCACTGAGGCAAGTGCTGCCTGAGGCGCTTCTGGAGCGCTGGAAACCATGGACCTGTCCGTTTTGGAGTGGCCTTCAAACAAATGTCAACCTTTATTGTGTATTTTGTTCTAAAAGCATTTGAAGGAGTTTAAAAAAAATTAATCTGACTCAAAAGCACTTTATAGAAAAAGAAAAATGAGGCCTGTTTGTAATCCATTGGACTTCCTTAATTGTCACGGTTTGAAAAGTCATCTTGCCAAAACCTACTCTGATTCTGTGGGTGCTTTCAGTAACGCTCCTCATTACTTTCATCATACCTCAGTGAGTTCTGCAATAGCCATAAAACTCTGCTGAGCTGGTGTTTATCCGGTGCTTCACCAGTACAAGAAACAGTGCTATGAAATTTCATTTGAGGTGCTAATGAATCCCTTGTCAGCTGATCTGGCTGGTGCTAAAGATGAGCGAGGTGAGGTAAGCAGAGCTGGCGACGCATGCGCTGGCTGTCCCGCAGGATTTACCAGCTGGGAGGTGCTGCCAGCCTTGGTTAACTGTGCTGGACCATTTGCAACAACCAAAGTTGTGCTGCATTTTGGTGTCGTTCAGCAGAAATGCAGGGTGCAGTCCTATAGTTTGGTTTTGGCTTGTTTTCACCCAGGAAAATTTCCCTTGACTCAACTCAGTCGCATTAACCTCGGTGGGTTGCCCTTGCCCGTTCTCCTGGGAGCGGGTGGGATGTTGGGCAGACAGGTGGAGGGAAGGGGCATCCTGTCCTGCCTGTGGCATCTCTTTCCAGCTGTCCACAGGGCTCGTGGCCCTTGGCCTCTGCAGGGGAAGGGCTGCAGGGCTGAGCCCCAGTCATAGCCACAAAGTGACTTGACTTTTCAGTCTTATTACCATGGTGTCCTTTGGCTCTGATGTAGGGGACCCCAGAGCTCTTTGAAGACTGAATTGTACCTTTGGGGTCCACAGGGCTTCGTGTCCCTCCTGCAGAATACTCCACGTGTATGTCTACCTCGTGCTACTACTGTAGGTAGTAACAGCCAAATTTGTTTTCTTTAGTGTGGTATCACCCAGATTTGCTTTAGCTCTGTCATGTTGCAAACATCATTCTGTAGCTGTACATACTTCATCTGTTGGGATGGAGTGTCACTACCATATTTTTTTGGTCACTTTTGAAACAAGAGTATAGTATTAGCTGAAACTTTTCAGCAGTATGGATTTATGTATTTATGTAAAAGTGTATTTATTTTTCCAATATTGTTATTTAATTTTATATAAATATTGCATACATTTATGATGTTTAATGTTAATGTTGAACAGTGAAAATTAAAGACAAGTAGAATGTAATCAGAAATGAATTTGTACAATGATTTCTTGAGTCTTTTGCTAAATTAAGATCACATACGTAGTTTTTGGTAACTTTTGCTAAGTTTTCTGAAATGGTACTGCAACGTTCCATCTTTCAACTGACTTTTCTTTTGCTTGCTTTGTTCTCCAACAGAAATTGTCATTCTCAGTAATTAAACAGACACAGTTAAAAGTGTGTGAATCATAAAGTTTGGATAACTAATTTCTCACAAGCATCTGACTGGCTTAGCTTTATTCAAGTTTCAGTGAAATTGGTACTATAAAGTACATACAAATTAAAGCAGAGAGAGTCTGAAGAGTCCAAACCCGCAGTCCTCGGGCAAAATTCCACTGAGATTTTATACAGTAAAAAGTGATTTTTATCTGGCTGGTTAAATCCAGGTTGGAAGAGATAATTAAATGGATAAACAGATCATGTGTGTAAATGATAATTTTATAACAGGAGAGTGGTGAGATGTCTTGTCATTGTAATGTATGTTCAAAGAGGACTAAGAGGAGGTGACACATTTTTATTTCCTTGCTTATTTAAGAACATGTATTTAAACACTGCAGAATTGTACACCATGTGATAGAACTGACCTTTTTATTAAAACCATGCTTTAGAAAACATGCACAGACTGTCACCAGAATACAGAGAGTGTTTTTTCTCCTTATGGTGTGAACTTCGGTCTCCATATATGCTCTCGAATACCGAGAGGAAATCTTGCCATGTTCTCCAGAGCAAGGGAGATGTTCACAGAGAGAATTACCCATCACTCCACTTAAAACTCGAGGCTGTTTTTTAATTATATATACCCATATATACACCATATACATAAAATATGCCTATAACCTCACTTAAAGCACTTCTCTGGGAGAGGATCTGCTTCTTGCAATAATCTCTGTGAAATTTTGAGTTTACCTTAATATCCAACTGTATCCTGATATAATTTATGAATAATGCTGAATTAATTTGTTATGGGTTCTCATTCTTTCTGACTTAAGAAATGGGCACAGATAAGGTAAAATAATTATCTCTCACAGCACCCTAGTTCAGTTGGTTGAGTCATTTGGGCTTCATTGCACTGGGACAGTGGTCATTTGACTTTGACCTGTGGAAAATAGGTGGGTGGAGTTTTGGATTTGATTTTGGGGGTTCTTTTCCTAAAAAAGGATTATCATTTTAAAAGTAGTTTGCTTTATCAAGTACTTGTCACTGCAATGGTTGTATAGCTCTTAGTGCCTGCAGAACAGCAGTGTGTGCTTCTGAGCCCTGTATCCCATGGGCAGAGATGCTCTAGTCTTTGAGGGCCTTGTACTGTAATGATGAATTGGAAGCTTAGTGTAAAGCAATTAGAATATTGGCTGGCTAAGCTCCAAACTCTGTTATCATAGATGTGAATTCAGGTTTGGGCTAGAACAGCATTGCTGTATGCCCTTGGCAGGAAACTGGTGGCATTGACAGCTTTGTAAGGCTCTTAGCTGCACACAGGGACAGAGGCAGTGGGAAATGGGCTCTAAACTGGGTGGGAAGCAGAACTGCCTGGCCAACATCTGTGTCAGGCAGCTGGCGTTCAGGAATTTTAATCTTAAATGTGGTGTCAGTGGAAACTTCAAGTTATTTGTATTTCATTTGGTCAAAGCCCCAAAACGTTGTTTACAAAATGCCTTCCCCATACAGCTGGCTGAAAATAGGATGTTCAGCAGCAATATTCTCCATGTTGTTGTTCTGATAATGTTCTTAGCAGGCAGGATGTCAGCTCTTGCTACAGCAAAGTGATAACCAGGGGCAGATTTGGTCACAAGTGTGTATAACTCTGCTGTTCTTGTCCTCTCTTCTGCAGAAAATGAATTTGCTGTGACAGCAGCATTACTGAGCTGCTGTGTGATTCTTTACACATGTTTTGCAATAACAAAGCCATCCTTGAAAATGAAGTGATAGGCATGCTGAACTCTCCAGTCACTCAGAGTGATTCATGTTGCTTCTTCTGTCCTTCATTCATACCATGATGGTTTGGGCTCTGAGACTGCAACAGCAAGTCTGTGTTTCTCTGTAGTGCCAGGTATTATCAGAAAACTAACCAAAATGGTCCTACCTTGAGAGCCTGTGGGGGAAGGACAAATATTGCTGCAGCAGTGGAAGGCTACACATGTAGTCCCAGCATCCATAACCCAGGCAGAGGGATGCATTGGGTGGCTTGCATGCCTTTTGAACTCAAATAGAAATAAGTACCTTAGTGACAATTTAATAAAGCTGATCCTGACCAAAATGAGAGGTTGGTAGCCTGTGGCTATCCCCAGCCATCTGTCTGAAGCTGTCTCCATCTCGGAGTTGTTTATGCTTAGGCTGGCCCACCAAGGCTGTTGTCCCTCTTGGGTTCCTGGCTGCTTCCCCTCTAGGATCTCTGAGACCAACTGACTCCAGGGACTGCTGGTTTGCTGTGCTGATGAAAGGCAAGAAGCTGTCTGCTTTGGTTCCCCAGTCAGAAACAGACCTTTGACAGTGCAGCCCTCTTTGCTTATGTTTATAAAAGCAAACCAGACCTGTTTCAGCCCTTTCCTGTACTCCCTCTGTGTGACACCCGTCCAGAGCATTCCACCACCAGAGCCCAGCTTCAGCCACCCTCCAAAACTGCACATGCCTAGGCCATAGCTGAGAATTCAACTATTTGCTGCCTCATGCCCTTCTCAGAGCTCATCCCAGAGGGTAAATGCAGTTAGGATTTTTGTTTGAAGAGTTTCAGCCTGTTGCTCT